AATGCGGCGAAAGAGACAAGCGTGAATCAAGGGTTCTGAGCCGAAGGCGCAGGCTGGTGACGGGTGACGCTTGCCTCGCGCTGCCTGCCAAAAGCCTTATGGAACGTAGTCCACGTGACTTCCTGGTCCATACATTCTTGAATAGTACTAGTGACACTGAAATAAACAACTAAGAGGACAATATGTTGGTTTCGAATGCAGCGATCTCGCTATCCAAGTGACCTGTTGGCTGTAAAGCTGACACTTGGATCCAGTATATCCCCGGCCATGCCCCCAACACTTTAGCCCCCTAGCCTCATGGACTGGGTTCACCCGGTGCTTTACTCTTCCTCCGTTTCACTTTTGCTGCTCCTTCAGATGGTGGCGCGTTTTTCTCGAGTGGCTTGGGGCCCTTTGCAGGGGCAGATGGATTGGTTGATGTCGGAAGCACGACCGAAGCTGCTCGTGATTGGCCGGGGGTCCCAGTAGGAGATGTCTGGCCTTGAGCCTTAGTCTGGCCAGCCATCGAACTAGCATCCTTGCTCTTAGAAAATCGGAAATTCCCTGGCTCACCCTCCAACGGCATGTCATCGACATATTCCTTTCCGTATTGCAATGTCATTCGAAGAGCGTCCCAGGCCGTCCGACTCTCGCCATGGGTTTCGTCTTGTGCTTCAGAAGTCCCTACGGCTTTCTCCATAGTAGAAGGCTGAGGTCCGGGTATTGGCAAAGCTTCATTCCCTTGCTGAGAGGAACCCAAGATACTTTGTGCTGTCGTCTGTTGAACAGGCTTGTGATACGTATGTCCATGAGAGACTGAAAAGAAGGATAAATCTGCCGGAGCCAAAAAGACCTTGTTGAGTGCCGACACCGTGTTCAACTATACAATTTCGGGTCAGTAAAGAGGGTATTTCGAGATCCGGAAGTCAGCCCACCAGACGATAGTTCAGAACGCTGGCAACCGAAGGAGCTTGATAGATGACGTTATTGACAATGTAGTAGTATCCCAAGACCGTAATGCTGTCGTCTCGCTCGTTCTCACGATTCTGCTTGCGAATGACCCAGACATTGGATTTCTCAGGCCCGTTTGGCCCGTCAAAGACGACTTGCTCCTCTAGGGGATCGTGCTCAACGACGTATTGAATACCGCGTTGATGCCGCAGATTGGCTTCAAATTTGGCCCTCGTGCCTAGGATGTCATTCTGGTTTGGAGTGCCTGCCCACTGCGTGAAGAGCGACTGGTTGCCCGAGACATGGTCAAAGAAAGGGGACGTTGCAAAATAGAAAAGCACTGAGGCGGGCGAGTCAGTACCCAGCCCGTTCTGATGCGGATTGTCACCCACCGTTATTGGAGTGTAGAGTTCCTCCATTCCAGGCGATCCAGTTTGGGTCGAAGTGAGCTTTCTCGGTCAGGTCGTCTTTGTGTTCGGCCATGATTGCTGATGTTTGAGGGCGGTTGCTGTCATCTTGAGCGTGTCTGCGAAGATTCAGCGGCCGCTACCGTGGTATCCCTCCCGATAAGATGCTTGGGGAGTCCTCGGTGCCTTGGTGCTCGGTTCATGTTTTGGGTACCGACCTCGCCGAGCACAAATCGCGAGATGCCCATTACGGCGGAGCAAATTGCGGCGGAGCAGAGGCACGCGTGACGCTTCCGGCAAAACATTTTCATTCGCTCCCGAAATCTCTGCCCTCAGCACGAAACTTTTCCGGGATGACTCGTGACTTGTAATATGCCTTGCTCTTCCGACCTTGATTTTCGTATATTACAGCGGGAGGTAGGTCTTTCTTGTTTGTTTCTGCATTGTTGATGGGATCTTTGGGCGTCTCAGGTCTGGGTCTGTAACCGTTCCTCCAACAAGCGTTCTCTCTACGAAAAGGAGGAATCCCACAAAACTACGCTGGCAGCTTCGATGACACCTCAAGGGTCAATTCTCTTTGTCGATGCCTACGACTCATTTGCAGAGAATATAGCTGCTCTTCTTCATGAGCAGCTCCGGGTTGAGGTGACTCTGGTGAGAATCGATTGTGATATTCCAGCTCAGTTCAAGCAGTCCGCTCGGGCATTCTTTGCCAGTTTCGACGCCATAGTTCTCGGTCCTGGGCCTGGAAATCCACAAAATGAATCTGATGTCGGTTTATTCAACCAAGTCTGGGCTTGTGCCTCAGAAGACAACATTCCGGTGCTGGGCATATGCTTGGGTTTCCAGAGTCTATGCGTTCAGAATGGAGTTCCTGTCGTTCGCCTGGGCCTGCCATGTCACGGACACCCTAAAGAGATATACCATGGTGATAGAGACATATTCTGTCGTTCAGGAAGCATCATTGCCACGAATTACAATAGCCTTGGGGTCCGCTTAAGAGACTTCAAACGGGATGGGACTGCGAGTCGCCCGAGTTCATCTGCCTCCAGCGAGAGCACATCATCCCTACGGAGCCTGCCATCTACGGCGTCGATCCCCTTTGAGCCTCCGAATGAACCACAAGGACATCAGACCTGCAATAATCTGGAAGTCCTAGCCTGGGATAAAGATGATTGGGTCATGGCCGCTAGGCACAAGCTCTTTCCATTCCGCGGCTTCCAATTCCACCCTGAATCATGCAAGTCCAGTTTAAGTTGTCACACCGTCATCAAACAATGGTGGGACGCTACGAGAAAACACAACTCAGCATTTCGACATCTCGTTTCTGCCCCAAGGGCAGCCTCTCCCAAGGTTGCGCAAGTGACGCATCCCTGCGAAAGCATGGCTCTGTCTAGAGAACTTGAATCTCTCTCAAAGTCTTGCAATGGCAGCATAAGCCGCAGGTCCATACTTGTGCCGCACGGGAGCGGTATCATTGCAAGTCTATGCCACCAAAGATCACCACCAAACGCTTCTGTGATGCTAGAGTCTACCAAAAGGGGCAAGTACAGCATATACGCCTTCCCTGATGAATCCGGTTTGCATTTAGAATACGCTGGAGGACGCATTACCTTGACGCAAGGCTCCAGCCCTCCTACCAGTGTCATGCTTTCTCGGGAACATGTGGTTGAAAACCTAGAATCTTTCCTTTCTAGCAAAAGTTTTCAAGAAGATGGTACCTCTGACATCCCATTCAGGGGCGGGTTCATGGGTTTTATGTCATATGAACTCGGGACGGCGTCATTGCATCTTGATGTTCCAGAGCAGAATCAGTCACCAATCTCTGTGCCAGAGATCAGTCTCCTTTGGGTGGAGCGCAGTATTGTCGTTGATCATCATACCGGGATGGCTTACGTGCAATCTATACGTGATAATGACGGCTCTTGGGTTGATGAAATGGTCAATGTGCTAAGTGATACATCTTTGTCCAATACATTGGTTTCGAACCGACCAGAGACCGCCAAATTGCACCAAATCCTGTCCTCCGCGAATTTCACCCTCCCAGACCACGACACATATATTTCGCGCATTCAGGCATGTCAGTCTGAACTTCTCGCCGGCAACTCTTACGAATTATGTCTCACCACAGAAGCAACTGTCAAGACACCCGTTGGCCCCGAGGCCTCCTGGCTACTTTACAACAATATTCAACAACACAACCCAGTTCCTTTTGCTTCGTTTGTCCGTCTCAACAAAATCACCATCCTGTCCTCCTCACCCGAGCAATTCCTCTCCTGGTCCTCTAAAGATGGCGGCATCGACATGATCCCTATGAAAGGTACTGTTAAAAAATCCCCGGAGATGACGCTCTCCAAGGCCACCGCAATCTTATCCTCTGCGAAGGAAAGCGCCGAGAATCTCATGATCGCGGACCTCATTCGACATGACCTACATAGCACCGTGGGTCGCCACGCGAAAGTTGAAGTGGTGAAATTATGCGACGTGGTTGAGTCAGAAACCGTCTTTTCGCTCGTCTCACACATTCGCGCCCACGTTCCATTGTCTCCCGAAACGGATCGGAAGTCTAATGAATACGCGAGGGCGATGGCCAGATACGGCACGAGAGCACTTACGCGCACGCTTCCCCCAGGAAGTATGACGGGCGCACCAAAGAAGCGGTCCTGCGAGATCCTCCACGGGCTGGAACAGAGAGAACGTGGCGTTTACTCTGGAGCAATTGGATATATGGATGTCGGTGGCAATGGTGCTTGGTCGGTGTGTATACGCACTGCGTTCTCTAATGATGATGAGAAAGAGAAGGATCCGAGTACTGGCCAAGAATGGCAGAAGTGGCGAATCGGTGCTGGTGGGGCGATTACAGTGCTTAGCGACGAGGAGCAGGAATGGGAGGAGATGATGACCAAGCTGGAAAGTGTTCTGAAAGGCTTTCAGGTGGATTGATGGTTTGGGTGTACACCCATTACAGATCTTTCGTCAATGGCTCGGAGGGTGCGATGTTGGTGTGGGACTTCAACATCGGTTGTGTTGGAACAGGGAGAAGCTTGTGAAATACTGTCTCCGCAGAGCATTTGGCAACGTTCAACATGACAAACGCTGGAGTCACCATTGGAAGGATTCCGTGACTTCATAGGATATGGATCTATGTTTTGGCACAATTTGGAGACAGTCGACATTCTCAACGGACTATCAGGGTCACAATTTCAACAAATATGGAATAAGTACTACAGGAGCATTGTGTGAGGATGATACACTGGTTATCTTATCCATTCAACACGGACCACAGAACAGGAAACGGTTTCATTCAACAATCCGGTAAGGGGAATATCCAGGAATACTACCTGCCAATATTTGTCCTGTTACGGGAATCAAAGAAAATCTTCCCATCGCTAGGGGATGCCGCGGTTCAAGCTTCATTGGTCCTACACGTACAATCGGCCCACTACACTGTCCGGACCGGCCCGGGCTTTATGCAGGGATTGAGCCCCCCGGTCCCAAGCCCGTACCTCCAGGGGCACAACCTCGGGACAGGTTCTTGTTCAGTAGTTCTAAGGCGGGCCAGACAGGATATAAATTATGAGTAGAATGGACATTTTGCAAAGATATTGGCCTCCCTACACAAGAGCTAGAGAAAGAGGGATAGAACGAGAGGGTTGGCAAAACATGGCGGAACAAAGTAACCCGAACAACAATTACGCACAGGGCCACTCCAACTATACCGTGGCAACACACCTGACGCGCACGGCCGAGTCGGACGCCGCCTTCCTGCTGCCACACATCAAGAAGACAGACCACATCCTTGACGTTGGCTGCGGCCCCGGCTCGCAACGGTTCTAGCCAAGTACGCCAGCGAAGGCGCAACGGTGGGCATCGACATCGTCTTTGCCTCCTAGGTCATCGGCCACATGATGCCGCCGGACGTGGCGCGCCGGGCGCTGGCCGAGATGCGAAGGGTGCTGAAGCCCGGCGGCCTGCTGGCCACGCGCGACGGCGCAGACCAGCACTTCTACCCGCGCAGCTCGGACCTCGACAGGCTGTGGGTGGGCAACTCGGCGAGGGTGCTGCGCAAGAGGGTTCCGGACGACGTTGACTCGCCAGGCACGAGCATGCCGGCGCTGTTGCACAGCGTGGGCTTCGACGTCGGCGGCGGCAAAGTCCGCACCGGCGCGGGCACTGTAGTGTTCTCTGGTCTGGAAACCAGGAAATGGTTGGCCTGGCGCGCGGCCGCCGCTGAAGCCCGGAGACGCCTGCCACCAGAGCTGGCTGGATGCCGGCATCACCCGGACGAGATCCAGGAGACGCTGGTCGCTGTCCAGAAGTGGGCCGAGACCGAAGACGCCTGGTTCGCGGCACTGCAGTGCGAGACGCTTGCGTGGAAATAAGAAACCGGGCCGGTTCTCAGGGGCCGTGGGGCTGCGTTATTGCGACTGATATATCCATATACACAGGATTAGTGGGATCTTAAATCCTTGATTCAAGCGGTACAAGAACAAAAGAGATAATTGGCATCGTCGGTACCGCTAGACTCGGCGTACCCCTTTCTGCCTTGCATGGAGAGGAATATGTAGTCCCTATTGCCGATTTTAGTCTTCTGCATACATTTTACACGTCCGAATGTTTACGGCGATTTGATGGACGTCTCGGTCAGTCCATCTTCTCTTCTCTCCAAATTTCGGAGAGTCGTTCCTTGTCTAGTTCCTGCACCAAGATAAGTAATCCACCGTTCTTACCGACCCGAGAGAAATACCTCGCCCAGCACTGATGGGAGCTGGAAACTCCCAAGCTGAGCCAAAGAACCCGCCCAAGTGGCCCTCCTCGAAATCGTCTTTTCAAATCTCGACAAGAGGGGCCTCTGTATTGGCGCTCCGCTGCGCCAACCCTTGTCCCTGAGCCTGCCCCAAAACCTTCACGACCTTGGCAAAGTATTGTGCCACGAAACCCTCGGCATAATAACTATGATCAGAACTATGATCCGCCACAAGATTGTGCGCCAGTTCATGGCACAAAATTACCCACCAGTAGACAAACGCCTCACTATACCCATCATTTCCCGTTGGCACCATGCTTCGTTCATGCAATTGTTCGAAATACCGATAATTGCAGAATATGCTTCCGTTTCTGTTGAAGCCGATGGTCTTCCCGGACGTTTCGAAGAAGATATTAAGTGTGCGCGGGTTCAAGGAAAACACTTCTCCCACAGACTTGATGAGGCTGGCAAACGCAGTTAAGCCAGCGGAGTGTTGCTGGAGGAACTGTGATGAGTTGGTCACAGACGAAGGGGACAGAAAGCATTGGATGCCGTCCTTGATCTCAGCAACGAAAATAAGATCATGGGCGGGGTGCTCGTCGCAGTAGGATTTAGTCTCCTGGAGAACATTGGTTTCTCCGCGACTGAACAACTCTGAGGAATTGTGCGCACGGGACTTCTTAATGGCTGTGAGGAGATTCTCCCGCAGTTGGTGAGGAGCGGTGACTGGTGAGCTGGTCGACTTGGACTGGCCACTCCGTTGGTCGTATTGATAAGGGGGAGGAGGGTCTGCTGTCTCACCGCTCGTGACCCCGCGGGGCTCATCGTCATTACGGCCTAGCATCTGTTGAATGTGACGGTTGTTGCCAAGTCCAAGTTGACGGGAAAGATTGGAGAAGAGATTACGTCCATGTCTCCGTACCTCCTCGCTGCCGATTGTGATGGAGGTGCTGAGTTCTGGTGCTGTCGGTGCTTTGCTATCCGGTGAATCTGGGAAACCACCTGGGACGTGACTGAGTGGAGCTCTATCCTTCGCAGCCTGTTCTTGAGAGACTAGCCACGCTTTCTGCTCCTCTTCAATCCTCTTCTGTTGCTCTTCAAGTTCTTGCTGTCTCTTACTCTCAGCCAGCCGATTCTCGGCCGCCTTTTGTCGTAGAATACGAGAGACATTGAAGCCTCGAGCGCGGAGCTCAAGCAAGTCGGTTTTCAGTAGCATTTCGAGGGTGAGTGCAGAATGCAATTTTGGCCTCGTTAACAAAATATGGACCAAAGCCTGGCTGACTTGATAGAGATCTGGTCTGGCACCTGTGATCCACAAGGTGTATTCTCTATTGACTGCTGTGATAACCGCAGAGCGCTTTTCTGTGTGAGTGACGTTTCTTCCTCGCAATGATCTTCTTAGAGAAATCGATGAGACGAGCTGAACCTGCAGATTCTTTTCCAGCCACTTCGCATCATGCTTGATGTTGTCCGGGGGCTGCTCATGTAGAAACAGTGTCGATCTTTCCAATATCTGTTTCTGTAACTTCTGTGCGGGCTTTTGATCCCCCGCCCTAGGGCCATGGCGAGCGGCTTCCTCGACTAGAGAGCTAAGCAATGGAGATCCAAGAGCAAAGTAAAAGTCCTCGAGACTTTCTTCCTGAGGTGCTGCAAGTATGCTTGCCTTGAACAGGTTGTAATTAATGTAATCGTCAATGATGATCGCATCCTCGGCACAGCATAGTTGAAATTCGCGGATACCCTGGACCTCTTCCTCGTCAAGATTATCGGTTTCATCGGCACAGCCTGCATACTTTTCTGCCGATGATGCCGGAGGCGGGAGTTCTCTGCTTGCAAGGAGGAATGGCGCCTTCTTCATCTCTGCCCAAAGCTCCTTGTTCCTCTTCAGGGATTTGGCGCCTTCGGCCATGCTCCGCAGCAATGCCATGTACTTTTCAGCACTGCGGAACGTTGCAGAAATCCGCGCGGGCTCCTTCACGAGGATTTGCGCAATCTCCAATTTAGAAGGCTCTTGCTTCGAACCACATTTGATGAGGAATGAGTTCGCATCAGCACCAAAATCGACGTAATTAAAGATCTCACTGAAGGCTTCACTTTCGCCCAAAAAGCAATTTCGAGGCGACGCGTGAGTTTTCGGCGCCGACTTCTGCTTGTCCTTCCCGAAGATGGGGATGAAGTTCGTGTCGATCAGCCTTGAGACATGATGGATATTGATCTCTACTAGCCGGCCAGCAAAATATGTAAAGATAGCCCGAGCGTCACTAGCAGTGACTGGTGGCCGCTTGGAAAGGATATTGATGCAAAGATCCATCGGAGGATGCTCTCTAACGCCGAACTTGGTCGCATGGGGTATCCAGTCGCTTTTCATAATATCGAAGCCGAGCAGAGCAGCTCCCTCGTTTGCAAAGCACTGTGTGGGAGTGGCAAGCTGATCGGGCTTGTTCTCGAGTGGCAAGAAAGGTAGCTTAATGCTTTGATAATCGAACAAGCCATATCCATGAGCGTGATGGTGTGATAAGAAATAAGCCAAGGCTCTGTCTCGGTGGTCGAGGTCGTACTTGGGTCCTTGCTTGCCCGCATCGGCCATGATCTGAATGAGTTCCCCGACCAGAGGGGTAGTCCGAAGGCCGAGAGCGTTCAAGAACTTTGCTTCTGTAGTATTGGTCCTATAGGGTCCTGGCCAAGCTAAGACTGGGAGTCCGAGATCGCGAAGGTCGTGTCGTGGCTCGAACAACTCGCTTACTTTGTACCGCTCTGTGGACTCGCCACCGTTTTTGCCCTTGAGTTGCATGGGACATATCGGAGTACTTCTAAGTTTGTGTATGTCGGCTGCGGGGATATCATGGTGTACAGACGCAAGATATTTGATTAAATCGACGTGACTCCACTGTGGGTTGGTACTGCTCACAGGTTTGGCAGACTTGGGCTCCAGTGCCAAAAGGCGCTCGAACACCACTCCTAGCTCCACTGTTTTGCGGACACCCAGGCTGAGTAAGAACTTGTCCTTGACATTTCCGAGCCCTTCAATTGTTGCCAGATCATCAAAAAGCTTGACACTTGGAAAGTAGGCGTCACTTGGCTTTCTCATCCCGAATTTCGTAGGGATGACTGTATGCTTGGCGAGTAATTCCACCAAGGATGTCTTTAAAGGTTGGCTGAGTGAATCGAAATGTTTCGAGAGTAAAGGCAAAACCTGCGAGCTGAATTCTGCAGACTTCGTAATGTCCTGGTTTTCGGCAAGTATTTGGCGATTTCCAGACTGAGCGATAAGCCAGCGTACCCATGTGACCAATTGAAGCTCCTCCCATCCGAGACTCTCCAGCTCGTGTTTGCTCATGCTCTTCGTGAACTTGAAGGGCATCACCGACGACGGGACCGGGAAATCGACAGGTGTTCTGCTAGGGTTCAAAAAATGGCGGACTTCTCCAAGCTGAAGAAGGGAACTTCCATTTTCCTCTGGGTTGTCATCATTTGCCACAGCGACAGCCAGCAGACTTGAGATTGTAGACTTGTCAAGATTTCCATTCGCTGCTTGTTTTGTGAGCCAACCAAGGAATTCGGACACTTGTTTTGTGGTCAAAGGGCTCGATTCAAGCGCAGATTTGATGTCAGTCACTGTCACTTCGGTCAGGAGACCGAAGTCAACCAGCTTAGACACCAAAACTTTGGCTTCAGAGGCGAGTTTCTCAGGCAAGATTGGAATACCCTCCATGAAGCTCATGTCCTTCGGAGCAATACGAACGTCGTGTGTAAGAAGTACTCCGCATGTGGAAACCACCTCAATGGCTGCTTTCTTGCTGCATGTCCAGAATGCATCTTCCAGGAGCTGGCCTATCGAAGACGAAGGAGTGGACTCTCTGAAGGTGAAATTCTTGAACGTAGTGATCGCCTCGTCCAAGAATGGACTGACTTCTTCCATGCGGATCTTTGGTTTGCCGTTGGCTTCTCGCAGGGTCTTTTCCTTGAGTTCTTGCATCTCACAGGACCATGCAATCCGACAGACAATGCCAGCGGCACGAAGCATTTCCGCATTCCACGTCCTCACATATCGGGCATTCAGATCGATAGCCTCACGTTCGACTGTTGGAATGACCGAAGGTGCCGAAATGTGTGCACTCAGTCCGGTCGTCTGATGTGTGGGAAAGCCTATGAATATCTTTCCCGCTTTGCTTGGAAGCACCGTTCCAAAGACATCACCAGCAACAGACGCCTTGGCTAGGCTAGCATCTTCAATATACGGGGCCGTCAGGATGGCGAGTTTTGTGGTCTTTGGAGGTGATTTCTTGGTTGCTCGCTCCAGCTCCTCATTAAATTTTTGACCAGTAAATGTCTTGATACTCGCTGTGTTCACATTAAGGAAAACGGTGGCAGACACTTTCGTCGCCAAAGAATCTAGCTCGACTGGACGGTCAGGTCTGACTTCTGCTTGGCTCTCCTCCTGCACAGTTCCTGCTAATCGCGAGAAGAACTTGCGAAGAGATGGCCCGGAGTCTTTCTCAGTTGACCGGACTGTGTCCTTTTTGGCTTTCCAGCCAACGACACTCATCCAATGACCATCTATCTGGGCAATTTCTTTTGAAACCTTGGTAATTTTCATGAAGCCCTCGCTCGTTTTGGGCTCAATATCACGAGGAA